TTGGCGAACGCATTACACTGAAACTCATATTTCGAATGTATAAATTAACGATTTAAGCTTTCAATTCCTTATCGTAGCGCATAAAGAATGATTTTTGAATTGCAACAAATGGTCGGACGGCAATTCAGTGCAATTCCATTTTCAGCAGATCTCAGACATTGACTGCTGAATCATCAGCATTCGCACACTTCTGGGATGGTAATCATGGTTGATGTGTGGCATGTAAAAATTATTTTTGTATCATTCTTCGCATTTCTTTTACATCTTGATTCGTGTTTCAATAAACAACAACAATAACACAGCATTAAGTGTTTTGTGTATATTTTTTTTGCTTTAATTTCTTCATTCCTGGTTTTGTTTGCAATAAATGCGTTCGAGATTTTCTGTTGTTTACATCAACAAATGCACTCTTCACTCCCATAAAGAGCAGTTGCAACGCTTATACATACAAAACATCTAGTTTCGAGTTCACGCCACTTTATTTATATTCGCATTTCTCATATGCAAATTTAATGCACACCGAAAAAAGGTGCATGAAAAGGAACACGTTTAAAACAACAACACACAAACTGCCCATTCGAACTTGGTGAATATGAAGAAAATCAAAGTGTTGGAAGAAAAACATACACACTTTATCTACCTCTTTAATTCTACCATCGAAACGGCAAATTCAGTCCGTTCAGATCAATTGATGTGAGTACAACGGCACGAAATTTTTATGTTATTACTTTAGTGCAGTATTCAGTTTCATTGACGACGCTGATGCTCCCGTTGATCCACGATAAAGTTTCACATAAAAATATTCAGTACTTTTTTTGACACTGTCATTGTGATATCAGTTTTATGGAATACAGAACAATTGTGATGAATATTTTCAAGGTAAGGCGTTAAAATGCCAAATCCGATGTGGCTTGAGTGACAGAAGATTCTTGGAAATCAGTGACGAAAAAAAATGTTTCACAAACTGAAGAAACCGTGAAAGATTTGAAATCTCAACAATTTTTGCAGGAATATTGTGCATTCCATTACATTTAACGTAAGTACAAAAATACGAATATCAAAGAAGAAATTGGACCAAAAATCATGTTCTCGAATTCTTGATTTATCGACATATGTCTCATATATTTGTTTATCTTTTTTTGCAATTGACCAATCTCAGTTACAAATCTATTTTTATGGACAAATTCGGTGCACATGATAGAGGTGCGAGGGCGTGTTGTTGTGATTAATTATTGTTATGGCTTCATTTCAATTTTTTCGAAATCATTCTTCTCACAGTGTGAGACACACATTCTAGAGAAAAAACTGTATTTGTTTTTTCCGTGGCTTGAAAAGTTTATGGTCATGAAAAGAAAGACAGATTTTATATTATTATTCGTAAAATATTTCATCAATATCATTTTGCTCAATCATCATTGATTTGTTACATTGTATTTTGACAGAATTTGACACCCATGTTCGCCGTGTGTGATTATTATAATTGACAACAAATCCATTTTTGACGTCGGCTGAATTTGACGTCAGCTAGTAACCATTTGATAATTATGAAATATGATGCATGATTTTTGATTTACAATTAACATTGGCAAAACTATTTTCAATAGAACACAATGATAACACTCTATTACTTTCGCCCAAAAATGTTCAATTCAATTTCTTTGGACATTTATTTGACGGCCTAAGAAGAAAACAATAACATACAGAATATTCTGCAAAAAGTCGAATACAAATTTATGTGAGCAAAAACCAAATATACAAACAGACAGCGCAAAGGTAAAACAGCCTACTTACATAAGAAACACATGTAAGTAGGCTGT